GGGTTAATTAGTAAGACTTTAAATCTAAACCATTATTATCCCCCGAAAGAAAAAAAATCTTACAATTTAAAAAATATTATGTCTTGCAAAGGGTTGATAACCCGTTAAAAATCAAGCAGACAATCGTGTTTGTGTGCTTTCATGCAGACAAAAGATGTTGCTTTTCTATGCATTTTTACAAAATATATTTTACGTATTTGGTGATCAATTTCTTTCTATAAATATTTGGATTTTTTTTTTATCAAATAAACGTTTGGCTGATATTTTTTCGGCTTATTTAGACATATGGACGCTTTCACTTTAATGTGAATATCAAATAGCGATTGAAGGTATGAAAGCGATAAGAAGATCATTTGAAAACTATCATTTGCAGGGACGTCTCAAAAAGATGTGGGTCGAAAGTTTTAAGGGAAAAAAAATCTTAAATTTATGGAAACTTTTCTTTGTGATATTTTTTTACCGATTAAAGCTTTTTCTTTTCTAAACTGAAAGAATGTTTGTAATATACGAGAACAATCTGACCCGCGAAGGTAATAAATTTTGATCTAAACAATAGTTCCCCCTATCACGAGTTTCGACTTACACCCACAGGGGAGCCTATCCAAGTTTCTATAGAATCCGATCCAACCATGACTACTGAGGCTTGATTCCTCTGGCCTTCTATTTTCTTCGGGTGTCTGTATTGTTATTATTTTTATTTTATTTTATTATTTTTTTTTTTGGTGTGGGTGGGGGCTTGCTTTTGTTTTGTTTTGTTTTTTCATTTCCTTTCAAAAATTCGAGTAAGATATTTGATGAATTGAAAACATTAACTTTCAAACAATCCTTTTTTTTATTTATGTGCAACCTGTATGCTATTCATTATCGCCATATTGCCACCATTCATTTATTTCTCTTTCAACCACAGTTTTTTGGGGTGATTGAAATGTTCTTATCCTGACCAAGGTTATATCTATTTTATTTTATGATCCGCAACAATAATGCCCGAAAATTCGCCATTGCAGAAAGAGGAAAAATCAAAATGTCTGCGGCAAAGATCAAGGAACCTAGGAATTTCGATAATAAAACAACAATTTTTGCTCAAATTTTCACCTAGAAGAATGGCGGAATGGTGTTTCCACATTACTCTTCAGTATTCGATTATTTCGTATGTTCCCTACTTTCATTATTCATGGCTCCAAGAACTATGAACATATCTGATGAAAAAAATGGCCAAGACTTAAAAACAAAGTTTATCATTGTACATATAATTCATTATATATCAGAAACGTGAAATAATTAGAATTATCAAACAATTTAGTTAATAAATAATTTTGTTTAATTATTGTAATACCACAATATGTTGCTGTAAATTTTATATAACTGCTTGATAATTATAATTATAAACTTGATAATTATAATTATTATTATAATATTTTATTATAATATTTTACATCGCTACACAAAAATTTTCATGTTTCGGAACTTAAAATTGTTCCTTATCAGACGATGTTAGATAACTTATGATGAAAATGATTTACTTGAGAAATCAGAAAACAATTCAGTAGCTTATTTGGAAGTTAAAAAGAACGAGCTGAGAAACCAAGACGAACCAATCAAATAACGGATCAAAGCAAAAATACAAAAATAAAAAGAAGGTCAGAAAGTAGTTCCAAAACATAAATTTTTGTGTAGCGATGTAAAATATTATAATAATATTTTGCTCTACGTTGTATACAGCACATTTAAAAAAAAAAAAAATAAATAAATTCTAACAACGGCGACTTCTTAATCAGTCTGTTCTTTCTCTTTATTTGGGTAATTTTAATTAAAAATATTCAGAATTAGAAATTTATACACGATAAATTGTAAGATGATTCGTTATACACGCCTCCAAAAACTGCTAAAAATGAGCATATATGATAAAAAATTACGCAAGACTTAATAAAAACAGTTTTATCGTCAAAATCTTTGTGTTATCATTAAGAGTAAAGATCAAAGAATTTTTTAATGTGATTGTGACAAAGCGCTACGCACACACACACACACACATATATATATATATATATATATATATATATATAAATATATATGCAGTGTTCATATATATATGTTCATATACATATATTATAAATTTTATACATATATATTATAAATTTTAATTATTATATATATGTTTTAATTTTAATTATATATATATATATTTAATATTAATATTTTAATATTTAATTATTATATATATATTTAATATTAATTATTATATATATATAATATATTAAAATATATATAATATATTATATATAATATATATTAATTATTATATATATATTTTAATATTAATATATTAATTAATATTTAATTATATATATACATTTAATATTATTATTTTAATTATTATACATATATTATAAATTTTAATTTTAATTATATTTTATATTATAAATTTTAATTATTAAATTTTACATATATATATAATTTTTTTACATATATATATATTATAAATTATTTATATATATTATAAATTTTTTGTATGTATATATATATGTGTGTGTGTGTGTGTGTGTGTGTATTATAATTTTTTTACATACGGACAATAACAATTACTCACGACAAAGATGCATTTTTGTTTCGATGCAGATGAGCAGCTCGATGGGTGAGGAACAAAATGGCAGCCGTCTTTGTTCCTCACCCGTCGACATGCTCCGATGCATTAAAACAAAAATGCATCTTTGTCGTGAGTAATTGATTTTGTCCATATGCAAAAACTTTATAATACATTACTACTGCTCTACTCCTGGTACTGAGTCCTCTTTTGAATTAATGATGTGAACGTTTGAATTTATATTCTTTTCGTTCTTATTTCACACACACACACGCACACACACACACACACACACACACACACACACACACACACACACATATATATATATATATATATATCGTCGCGTACCGAATTTGTTCGAGGTGAGAATAAATAATAATACAGACAGAATTGGGTAAAAGCAGTTTTTTTTTTTTTTATTATTTACTGAAAAGAAAAGAAATTTTAAATAGCATGTATTTTCTTTTGGGAGAAAGGATTCTTTTTTTTTTTAATGTCTTCATTGCTTGACTTATAACGTTGGGAAAGTTTTGTGCATATTTTTTTAAATCAATTACCCACCGGAAGTGACCTTCTTTTGATAGGGTTCAATAAATTCACACAACTCATTTTGTTTTTGTTTTTTTTTTCTCTTTCATTTGATTTACGAGCAGTTAGCATTACTGAATGGCCTCAATGTTTAAAAGACATGAGCGCTCCTCCCACTGCAACACACGCGCGCGCGCACACGATGGTGCGGCAATTAATCCGTTGGCTGACACAACTTACTTTGGATTTTAATTTTTCACTTTATAATACTCAACCTCTGTGATTAATATTCATCCTTAATTAAATGACTTGATAAAACAGGTATTTTGATTGATTAATCGATACTGTTTTTTATGGTTTATCAACCCTTTGCAGGTTATTTAAAGCCACAAAATATTCTTAGATTGCAATTTTTTTTTCTTTTTGGAGATAATAATGGTTTAATGATACAAGTCTTAATAATTAACCCATAGCTGGGGGAGTAAAGGTGGATTCTTACCTTTTACCAAGGGAATTTGCGCGTAAGTGAATATAACGAACCCCAGGGGAACTGAACCTCCGCTCTCCAATTAATAATTCCGAGCGATTATCCATTACACCACCTACACATCCAAGCTTACATCACCCGGTATTCCCAAACGGTCGATGTAGATACTAACCAGGCTCGGATTGGTTGGAAAAGATTGCAGTAGACTAATCGAAGGGATTCCTGGAAGTCCATGCCTCAAAGAAATACAAAAAATTGTTCTGACAAGTACAGCCCACACTTTACGAAAGGCTTTATCTATGTAATTTTTTTTCTTTTTTTTTTTTTTTTTTTTTGTCAGTGGAAAGTGTCATTATGCCATTTCTAAGCTTAGGTCCCTGGGCGGGACCCGGAAAGAAATGTGTAAGCACCAGAAATCAAAGAAAATTATAATAATAATCTTTTAACCGAATATGCAGACAATTCGTTCAAATGAAGGTTTTTGTGGAACTGACCACACTTTTTGGAAGAGGAACTGGTTTGGATAATGTCTTCAAATGACTCTAACGGGTTTTGAATTTGGAACTGTCCTTCTACTAGCTTATTGGTGGGGATGGAGAAGAGAAGGATTTATAATTTTCCCAAGGCTTTTAGCGCCTAAGGAAATTAATTCAACCAGAATTCGAGCTCAGCCCTCCTAATCCACAATCCATTACTCAACCGTGTTTCCATCTCACTTGACACTGAAAAATGGGCATATATAATGAAAAAATACCCCAAACTAAAAAAAAAAAAAAGTTTTATCGTCAAAATCTTTATTATGAGGAAAAACCACGGGATTTTTTTAATTATTTATATTTTTGCATCCATTTTAGAACGTTCAAATTCTTGGGTATAAATTATTCTTTTGTGAAGAAAAACATTGATTTCGAAATTCTTGCAAAAATCAAATAATTGTCGGATTTTAATGAAACATTCAGGACCTATTCACAAGTGAATGCATTTATTTGAGAAATGTCTTTTTTACAAAATCTTAATAAAAATATTTTTTTACATGTTACCGCACACTTATTTAATTTATGAAATTTCAAGAAATTAAATTTTGCCACTTAATGTTTAAAAGCAAAACTTCTTGGAGAATTTAAATTTCATTTTTTTTTTTTTTTTTTTTTTGTAAAACAAGACCTCTAGTTACCGAAAATCTGCTTTGAATCGTAAAATAAAAATGCAAAGGAACTAAAATATTATTTGAAGAAAAAATATTCATTGTTTTCATATGGACACTATTGTCTTAGAAAAATCATTAAATTGCTTATAAATTTTGTTTTGCTTCCTTTATCGCTTTTCATTCAACGCCATTTTTGATCGGTACAACAGGATGTATTTTATATTAACCCTTTTGATTATAGTCATCAAAATATTCTAAAAAGTAAAAGCTTCATCTTTCCTGCTGAGCTTTGGGTCTTGAAATATCTTCCTTCGTGCAGAACCCGACTGATGCCACTGGATGGAATTTTCGAACCGAACTGATGCCACTGGATGGAATTTTCGGATCCGACTGATGCCACTGGATGGAATTTTCGAACCCGACTGATGCCACTGGATGGAATTTTCGAGTCCGACTGATGCCACTGGATGGAATTTTCGAACCCGACTGATGCCACTGGATGGAATTTTCGAACCGAATTGATGCCACTGAATGGAATTTTCGGATCCGACTGATGCCACTGGATGGAATTTTCGAACCCGACTGATGCCACTGGATGGAATTTTCGAACCCGACTGATGCCACTGGATGGAATTTTCGAACCGGACTGATGCCACTGGATGGAATTTTACAAACCGGACTGATGCCACTGGATGGAATTTTCGAACCCGACTGATGCCACTGGATGGAATTTTCAAGCCCCAGTGATGCCACTGGATGGAATTTTCAAACCCTAATGATGCAACTGGATGGAATTTTCGAACCCGACAGATGCCACTGGATGGAATTTTCGAGCCCCAGTGATGCCACTGGATGGAATTTTCGAACCCGACTGATGCCACTGGATGGAATTTTCGAACCCGACTGATGCCACTGGATGGAATTTTCGAACCCGACTGATGCCACTGGATGGAATTTTCGAACCGGAATGATGCCACTGGATGGAATTTTCGAACCCTAATGATGCAACTGGATGAAATTTTCGAACACGACTGATGCCACTGGATGGAATTTTCGAACCCGACTGATGCCACTGGATGGAATTTTCGAACCGGACTGATGCCACTGGATGGAATTTTCGAACACGACTGATGCCACTGGATGGAATTTTCGCACCCGACTGATGCCAGTGGATGGAATTTTCGGACCCGACTGATGCCACTGGATGGAATTTTCGAACCCGACTGATGCCACTGGATGGAATTTTCGAACCCGGCTGATGCAACTGGATGGAATTTTCGAACCCGACTGATGCAACTGGATGGAATTTTCGAACCCGACTGATGCCACTGGATGGAATTTTCGAACCCGACTGATGCCACTGGATGGAATTTTCGAACCCGACTGATGCCACTGAATGGAATTTTCGAACCGAACTGATGCCACTGGATGAAATTTTCGAACCGGTCTGATGCCACTGGATGGAATTTTCGAACCCGACTGATGCCACTGGATGGAATTTTCGGACCCGACTGATGCCACTGGATGGAATTTTCGAACCGGACTGATGCCACTGGATGGAATTTTCGTACCCGACTGATGCCACTGGATGGAATTGTCGAACCCGACTGATGCCACTGGATGGAATTTTCGAACCCGACTGATGCCACTGGATGGAATTTTCGAACCCGACTGATGCCACTGAATGGAATTTTCGAACCCGACTGATGCCACTGGATGGAATTTTTGGACCCGACTGATGCCACTGGATGGAATTTTCGAACCCGACTGATGCCACTGGATGGAATTTTTGGACCCGACTGATGCCACTGGATGGAATTTTCGAGCCCCAGTGATGCCACTGGATGGAATTTTCGAACACGACTGATGCCACTGGATGGAATTTTCGAACCCGACTGATGCCACTGGATGGAATTTTCGGACCCGACTGATGCCACTGGATGGAATTTTCGAGCCCCAATGATGCCACTGGATGGAATTTTCGAACCCGATTGATGCCACTGAATGGAATTTTCGTACCCGACTGATGTTGTGGTATAACTGTGTTTCAATAACTATTACAAGTTGTACCTAAAACAATTATCACTCGTTCGCAGTAAATGCTGTAAAATCAACGAAGATGTGTCTATTCGATATCGCATCCAGTTGACACCAACTTGACTGACAGATTCTGACTAAATAACTGTTTCGGAATTATAAAAACAAACGCGTTTCCTAACCATACAGGGTGCAGCAAAGGTAACGACCTTTTTTATTAACTTTTATTGAACAAAAATAAACGACAGTAGTTTATATATATATATATATATATATATATATTTAATTTAGCTTTTGAAAATATATTTCAATTGAGCACTGTTGAGTGATAAGCTAATTCTATAAACAACAGCCACCTGCGTTAATGCAAAGCTCTTCAGTAAAATGAATTGGAGCACTCCGGTTGATTGGCATTTGTTTACGTTCGTAAAAACAATACGGAAGATTTAGGTGTTTCTCTCTGTCGAATGAAGATAGCTCAGTGCTAGAAACTCTGACTGATCGTTTTGGTTTCGATCCGGGATTGATGTATTTAGATGTCTAGTCGCACTGAGGCGCTGTGATACAGCGAAACAGTACTGTCTGCGACATATATTATTGTTTCTTCATGGCTATTTCTATTTTAGAATTCCATTCCAAGCAAGACAACACAGCCAATAAGATACAAAGTTTTACTGAGAATGAAAGAAATTGAAAAAATATTTGTGAAGAGAGAAGACATTAAAAAGAACATGATTCACGTAGACAAAAGATGGCGATTGACGTAGAATTTAAATTTTGGAAGATCGTAGTTGAGAGTGCATACAAGAAGTTGGAATAAAGTTCCACAAGCGAGAAGTACGACAGAAGAAACCATTAGTATAGAACTTGTTTTGCTTTACGTCTTTGCGTCTTTTTCAAGACAAAATGCTTGCATTGTCTGTTTGCGTCATTTAACTATCCGGGTATAAAAAATAAAATTTTAGTGAGAGTGTATGTGGGGAAGTGGGAAACAAGTGTGAGAGAACTGCTTTACAAGCACACACACACACACACGTATATCGTCGTCATCGGAGAGACGATGGAGTAGCGCGGTGCGCTACGAGCCTGGGCGGGATATATGGAGAACTAGGGCTGACCAGACCTTTAGTTCCCCACTCTCGGCCTTGCTAGCAAAGAAGAGGATAAACCAATACAGTTTGGTACCAGCGCAGGAGTTGCCGGAAGGTAGCACAAAGTGCCGTCCATCCGCCTTACGGGATCCACTCCGGGTTTTGAATTCAGCGTTGTCCTTCTCCTAGACCAGTTGCCATCCAAGGCTATAGAACCCAGTCTCTCCATAGCTGGAGGGAGAAGAAGAGGATTCACACCTTTTCCAGGGGTATTAGCATGTAAGTGAATGTAATGAATTCGAGTGGAATTCGAACTCGGCTCTCCGATTCCTCAATCCAAGCCCCTATCCATTACTCCACCGCGTGCGTGCGTGCGTGCGTGCGTGTGTGTGTGTGTGTATAAATATATATATAAATAAATATATATAAATAAATATATATATATAAATATATATATATATATAAATATATATATATATATATATATATATATATATATATATATATAAATATATATATAAATATATATATATATATATATATATATGAAAACGAACATATATATAAATGTGTGGCAGAAATATGTTACTTCACTAAACGTGAAATAGCCATACCATTAATCTTCGTCTATTTACTTTTTATCATTTCTTTCTTGATCTCCAATGAAGCAAGCGCTCTTGACAAAACATGCCGTTTATAGATTTTCCTCTTTGTCTAATAATCTTCACTTTTGGTTCGGATAATATTACATACCCTACAAATTACAATATATATATATATATATATATATATATATATATATATATATATATATATATATATATATATTATTTTATATGCGCAGTGCTTATTGGAAAGTGCTCAACATCAGTGATAGAGCTAACATATTCAGTTGTATGGATATCAGTTTGTGACCCTGTAATCAAGTTATTGTTGCCATTATTATTATTATTATTACTACTACTACTACTACTTTCGTCATCATTATCATAATTACCACAACTATTATCATAATTAACATTGTCATTTTTGTATCATTGCACATTCGTTTCCATCGTAATTAGGGTTAAATTTACCGTTAACACACCAATAACTATTGACATTATAATATCAATTATTAGCACTATCAGCATAGTCCCAATCGTCAATAATACACAATCAGTCAGCGTTGAAAATATAAAACATCATCATCACCATGTCCACAAACAAAATCCTACTTAACCAGAGTACTGATGAAAGGCCCAGACCAATAAGAGTGTACGTGCACCTCTATATGTGTGTTTGTGTGTGTGAGGACGTGTAGAGGTGTCTGACGATGCAGGCAGCCGATCTGAAAAGAGCCAAGAACACCCCAACCTGCCCCTTGTAGAAAGAACATCGCAATATAGTCTCGACACCGAAATAGAATTACAGTTGCGTATGTATGTATGTGTGTATCAACGCCTAATCTCAGATTGTTTATATGGGTGTGTTTGCGTGAACTAAAATGAGTACACTTGTATTTATGTGTTTCTGTATGTGTGAGAATGTCATCCCAAACAGACACAGAGAATTCCCCCCTCCTACCATCAAACATAATCAAACACAAACAAGCATAAATAGATCCACTTAAAAAAAACAAAAAAAAAAACAGTTTTTCTGATGATCGCAAAGCGTGAAACCCAGGGTCACAAACTCATATCCATACAACTGAATATATGTTGCAACCCAGGAAAGGTTACTGAATAGAATAATCAAACGAAGGTTGGTAATGAACGATAAAACTTAGTACAAGAACAACACATATAAGATTCACCAGCGGCGGGTAGAAGTAGTGGTCAACTGCTAGAAGTAAGTCAAGTGAATTCAACAATGAATCTCAAAATTCAGACCAACATACAGTATTTACTACTGTATTTATGTGAATGGTGACATACCCATTATCGCCCGTACGTATACTACAACAATATATATATATATATATATATGTGTGTGTGTGTGTGTGTGTGTGTGTGTGTGTAATTTTATATAATTAATTATATTTTAATTATATATAATTATAATTTATTATTACAATTATGTAATTAATTACAATTTGTTGCTGATTGATACTATTGCGTTTGCTCATGTTTATGCTTGTGTTTATGCATGCATTAATTTGTTTGTTGCCGTATTTATCACAACGTTTCGATCGTTGTACGCTCCGGTCTTCTTCAAGTTGGGAATGTCGAACTTTATTTCGCTCACTGGGGTAGACTGTTCTAGTTCTACGTGCCATGTCTAATGGATATGAGTTATCTACTGTTAATTCTCCTCTCCAAGTTCTCCACCACCTTAACCAGGTATTGAACTCCCACACTTTGGGTCCTGTCTAACTAACACCTTTATCCACTGTGCCATGTGTCCTCCAGTGGATAAAACTCTGAATTACTGTTTATAAACACACAGCAGCTCCGACGATTTTCCTCGATTCATCATTTCTGCTCACGAAACGTATCTTAACGTAAACAATGAAATATTATGAAATGGAGTAAATTTATTTAATATATTTTATGTTTATACGTTATTTTTATAGATATAATTTAAGTAAATGCTCTTGTTTTTTAATCAAGCAATATTAATTACATTTACTGGTCTGAATCTTACAGCTTCGATTCCTGTCAGAAATTTCTTGAACATTTTCGGACTTAATCCATTTCATTGTATATATATATATATATATATATATATATATATATATATATAATGAAAAATATGAATAGGCAGAGCAAACGCTGTGTCTTGCTGATTTTAAAATTTCCCAGTATTTCTATTCTCTAAGTTAAACCACGTCTACTGACGTTTAAATGACCGAGAAAGTTGGTGTAGATTCATGTGATCGACATGTCACATGTCCATCAGCCGATGCTCGTCCTAGCAAATGAGGAAGATGGCCTTTTTAGAATGATTCATTTGCTGACCTTATATCAACGACAAGCAAGGGGAGGAGATTTGAAATATTCACACCAGACAATAACAATGTCTAATTATTATGCAAAAAAAAAATTATATATATATATATATATATATATATATATATATATATATATATATATATAAACCATATTAATGACTCATGATTTGAAACATATTATTATATGATTTATCGTAACTGCTTTCAAAGTTTTTCCGTGTAGATGAGTTAACTTTGTCATATATATACATATATATATATATATACATATATATATATGTGTGTGTGTGTGTGTGTGTGTGTGTGTGTGTGTGTGTGTGTGTGTGTGTGTGTGTGTGTGATAAAGTGAAAAACAGTTATCATGTGACGCATTTCGTCCCTTAGGATTTCATCGGACTAGATTTGTTTACGCTGATGCGACTATATATGCGCAATGAACGAGAGATGTTGGGAATTTTAAATTTATAATATGTATTATATATATATATATATATATATATATATATATTTAATAAAAAGGCTCAAACACTAATATTCCATGGTTATAATTTATTACATTGGAATCGTAATCACGATCCTATTCATCAGACCTACAAATTCAAAAAGAAACAGTTCTCGATGTAATATAACAGAGCTATTAAGTATATATTAATAAATACACATATTATTTCTCACCGACAGCACGACTCGAAGTTTCATGAACAACACAATCTTCAGGTGATGTGTATAGACTGATCTTTACGAAATTTAAATTTTAAAAATATCTGATTATAGCAATGTTGCCGCAGTTGTATCTTATACTGGGAATTCAGTTTTTTAATTTAAAAAATTGTATTTGTCATTTAAATTAAATGGGATATATATATATATATATATATATATATATATATATGAAGTAATATAGTCTTAAGGCGTGATATATTTATGGGATAAAATGCTAAATATCAGAGATAGAGCGTGTGTAAATATAAAATATAAAAGATAGAAATGACCCAGGACTCTACAGGGTCGACGATCTCATAATCTTCAGAAACTGTAACAAACAAAACACAGACAAAACTAGAAAAGCAATAATAAAGATTTTCAAAAATAACTGATTCAACATAGATATAAAAACTAACCTAAACGAAGTAGATTTTGTTGTTCATGATGACGGTCGTCTTTGATTATAGAATCCAGAGGTTAGCAGTGAATATTTTGAAGACAGTAGGAAAGCGTTGTTCAGGTTAGCAGTGGATATTTTGGTAAAAGTAGCAGAGCATAGTTCGTCCTTCTGTTTCTCTTCGCCTGACAAGCTGGAACTGGACATTCGGGTAGGGTAAACAAAATGGCTGCGTTTATACACGACGGATTGAATGTTCTACGTCTTCTGATTGATGGACTATAAAGTGAGTCAAGTCATTTGGTCTAACTCACTAGTAGATACATAGACACAAAAAACTGCAACAGATTTTCTGGATGTTACCTTCAACCTAAGAAAAGGCACATATAAACCATACAGAAAACCCAATGATAAAACCACTCTATATACACACATCTTCCAATCACCCGTCTTCTATAATCAAACTGATACCAAAATCGATTAACCGCAGGCTTTCTGACAATTCCTACAATGAATCCATATTTAACAAAGCAAAGAAAGACTACGAAACAGCCTTAAAAGATAGCGGATTCCCAGCAACACTCACATACTCACCACAGAACACAAAAAAGGCCAACAGGAAAAGAAATATCATATGGTTCAACCCACCATACAACAAAAACGTAAAAACAAACGTAGGAAAAATATTCTTCAAACTCTTAAACAACCACTTCCCGGAATCAAGCACTCTACACAAAATATTCAACAAAAACAGAGTAAAAATCAGCTACAGTTGTACCGAGAACATGGCACAAATAATAAAAAAGCAGAACAGGAAATTATCAACAAACCACAGAAACAAATTGACCCACGTGTAACTGCAGAGTAAAGAACGAATGTCCCTTAAACGGTAATTGTTTACAAAACAACGTAATATACCAAGCCACGATAAAATTACCAGATAATGAAGAAAAAGTATACATAGAAGTAACTGAAGGAGCCTAGAAACAAAGAAATTATGCACACAAAACAACTTTCATAAATAGTAAATATACGAACAACACAATGCTTTCTAAGTATATCTGAGAAATTAAAAACAAAACGCGCATCACATCAAAAATATCTTGGAAAATAAGGAAAAGATCATCAGCCTACAACAACCAATCAAAAACTTGCAAACTTTGCTTGGAGGAAAAATTAACTTCCCAGACCAAAATAAATTATTAAATAAAAGATCCGTGCTCATCTCAAAATGCAGACATGAAAACAAATTCTTACTACGTTATTTAAAAATCGAAAATTGAAAAAAATAAATAAATAAAAAATAAAATAAAATAAAAGTAATAAATTAAATAAACAAACGGACAATGAAATAAGTAAAATAAATTAACCCAAACAAATTACCAAATCCCACCCGTTAGAATAGACGAAATAGAATAAATAAATAAATAAAAACAAAATCAATGAACCCAAATAAATAATAAACAAATTAACAAACCATTATGACCAAAATATTAGTTAGACTATAAAAATAAAAGCAGAAATCGGACGAAAAACATAGGTATGACTGTTATATAACGATAAAAAAATACTACATTACTTAAAAATCGAAAACCAAAAAGAGTAAATAAAAATATACAGTATAATAAATAAATAATAAAAAACAAGTAAAATAAATTAATCTAAATTAATCCAAATAAATAAAGAAATAAACAAACTAACAAACCGATTCCGATAAATTAACCTTTAGAAAAAACAAATAAAGATAATCAATCCAAATAAATACATGAAGTAATAAACAAATTAAAAACTGCTCCCGTCAAAATAATAGTTAGAATAAAGTACAAGAATCAACCCCAACATTGAATAAATAGCTTTATCTTCCCAAACCAAAACAAAACTATTAGATAAGCGATATAAACAAATTTTTAGTACGTTAATAAAAATACGGATTAAAATAAAAATAAATATATAATGTGTGTGTGTGTGTGTGTGTGTGTGTGTGTGTGTGTGTGTGTGTGTGTGTGTGTGTGTGTGTGTGTGTGGGGCAGCATATCATTATTTAAATATAACAGACAATGAATGTCTATTGTGTCTGATCATAAGCCGTTCTAAACTTCTTAAGTTTAGAAAGGCTCATGATGAAACACAATAAACATTAATTATCTGTTATATTTAACGCACACAAAACTTCTGAGTCTCGAGGAAGCAACGTCATATAGTATATTAATTCTACGTTTAATAATTATATAATTTGAATAATTATATAATTATTCAAATTATATAATTTGAATTTAATATTGATGCGTAGATCTGGATTAAAGTTACAAAATTATAGGATGGGGATAAAGATGAAGAAATAAAATAAATTAAGAATAAAAATTGGAGACGCCGAAATATTTTTTTAAAAATATTCGTTTAACTTAAAGGTATAGTCAACCAAGGGGAGGTAACTATATATAAATAAATATAAAATTAAAAATTGTAATAAATGAAGATTGTATTGAACATGAAAGTCCAAGTCGTAAATTCGACGTAAGGTAATATGTCTATTTATTAATATATAATTTATAACTTTGACAAAGAACAATGTTTATTTGATTGAATATTGTTTTGTTAACATCAAAAATTAAATAAAATATTTATTTGCAAATTAGATGCGTGTGATCACACACATGTATGGTTGCTTGTATCTATATTTATTTATTTATATAATTCATATCTATATCTCTCTCTCTCTCTCTATATATATATATATATATATATATATATATATATATATACACACACACACACACACACACACACACACACTTGTACAATTTAATTAAAACAGCCACTATATTTTTCTTTCTTTCACCAGTTAGTTTGGACCCACTGGAGTGACAAGGTGTAATAGATTTCTATTTTGTCCTCAGATTCGGTCATTTGTAGTGGTATGCATTAATATGAATCTACTTTCGGGGTTTATGATAAAAATTGTTTGTCCTTAAAAATATTGCGTCATCCGTGATTGCATCAGATATTCATCAGACTCAGACACTATTATCTCGACTGTCGATTAGTTGTCCTACGGCCATTGTCTGCGATGGACGTTACTCCAAGGAAGCGTACGAAAACTGTGACGCTGCTCGAACACAATGGCAAGCCTAACCAGTGAGCAAATCAAAGTACTATAAACTGGGCCGGAAACTCTTCTGATTTAAATCAAATCAAGAATATGTGGTCAATCTCAAAGAACGACTTCGTGGAATGAACATACGAAGTCCTAACATATGTACTGGGTCATGTTTCATTGGAAAATTACGAAAAAAAGTAAATAATAACGGAATTATTCGTTTTGTTTCAATTAATTTGCACAAGGGTGTAGTTAATTATGAGACTGTAGTATTTAGTAAAAGTCACCTAAATTACATCATATATCACAAAAAACAGACTTGTGCTTACTAGTGGTTGCTAACATTACAAGATGAGTGCTGTATACCAATTCACTTTTCCCTTGAGATTTTGTTTCTTCATCAATAAAAATAAAAATATACCCCATCAGATATTGATCACGTTGGAACATTTCTCTCGTGACGATTAAATATTTAACGGATCAACTCCGCCCATTATCATTTCCTCTATATTAGGATCGACAATACAACAATCTGCCAATCCAACTGCAAAAACGATTAAAATAACTGAAGGTTCTTTACATCAAATGACGGCAACAAACCATCAATATTATACATATTTTAGATTCCAGTACACACGTGTTCAAAATACCTTTGAACCGTAAAATCATTTTAGACATGCGACGCTATAATTTTCTTCAGCCCATAGTATGTAACCCCAGGT